AAAAGGATCAAAACCCAGATCCATGAAAGGTGTTGGTGGGAAACACTGGATGACCCATGCCTTGGATGAGAGGTGGAGCATGACCCTGGGCAGCCAAGTTTACATTCCCTTTAGGGTTCTGCCATTCATTGCTGTCCAAAGTAAGAAAGGATTCAGTACTCTTCACTGAATATTATAGGGAATGAGTATAGAAAGGCATTTTCCAGAATACTTTTTTCTAAAAATTAAAAGAAAAAAGGAAATAATCATAATCAAAAGCATTACAACAGTGTTTAAAGAACAGATTTCTATTTATCATGATTAAAATCTAGTTCCAATGACTTTGTGCCTTTGCAGGCAACTCATCTAATTTTCCCTTTTCTAAACTAGCTACCCAGCTCCATGCAACAATGAATAACTTTAGTGACTCCTATTATCTTGTTCTTGTTATATCCAATTCCTAGGAAGAAGGAATCCAAATATTGGGGCGTCATGTGGACCTTTGCACATACCTCACGGAGACCTCTTGGAGGACCGAGGTGGCTGCTACAGTGTGAGCGCAAACGTCTGATCCTTATATGGCTAAAAGCTTAACAACGCATCAGGCAGATCACAATCCTAACACATAAAAATGATCTAAAGTGGGTAACAAGAGGGCTACCACCTGACCAGAGGACAGTGGGCCTGCCCAGACATGACCTCTAGGATGCTGGAGATGAATGTCTGGAGGACAAGTAAAAAGGCAGATATGGAGATATGGGTTTGGGACTAGTTACTGCAGGAGTCACAGTTGATTCCTGAAAGATCCCTGAAAGACTGGATAAGCTCTTAGAAAACAGGAGTAGGCAGCTGAGAATAAAACTTGGGAGTTGCTTAGAGTTAAAACACATCTGCACGCGCGCGCGCGCACACACACACACACACACACACACACACACACACCCCAAAAAACAAAAAGCAGAAAAACAAATAGAAAGCCTGGTCAGCAAAGTCAGAGGGGAAGTGAGAAAAGGACAGTGGTCTGGAAGCCCAGGGAGGGAGGAGTTTGCATTAAATTGTCAACTTGTTAAAACACCCAGGGAGACTGAGCAAAAGCAGAAGTGACAGGAAGCCACTGGCTTCGGGTAAGCGAGAAGTATAACCACCTCCTGTAGTGAAAAATTCACGCAGTCCCTCCAGTGAAAAAAATCTCTTGGTAGATGAACTTCAACAACAGAGCTGCTCAAATCCAGACAATCTCTTAAATTTGTTTCTGTTGCAGGAAACTAACATGTCAATGGTTTCATGACAGAATAGGAAGTTTCATTAAGAAATTCATCTATCGGCCGGGCGCAGTGGCTCAAGCCTGTAATCCCAGCACTTTGGGAGGCCGAGACGGGCAGATCACGAGGTCAGGAGATCGAGACCATCCTGCCTAACACGGCGAAACCACGTCTCTACTAAAAAAATACAAAAAACTAGCCAGGCGAGGTGGCGGGCGCCTGTAGTCCCAGCTACTCGGGAGGCTGAGGCAGGAGAATGGCGTGAACCCGGGAGGCGGAGCTTGTAGTGAGTGGAGATCTGGCCACTGCACTCCAGCCTGGGCAACAGAACGAGACTCAACAAAAAAAAAAAAAAAAAAAAGAAATTCATCTATCTATTCAGATAAAATGATGGAAACAAAGGCTTATCCTTAGTTCAGTAGCCTCTCTGGAATAGTCAGGCCAGCTGTAGAGAGAGGTTTTCCGATGACATTTAATGGTGGTCTGCACAAATTTCTTAACCACTGGAAAAAAGACCAGGGGCTAACATGGAAAAAGGACAGATGTGGGAATTTGATCTTCAACGAATGGAGCTTGAGGAATTAGTTACCCATTTCCCATTTGTTGTAGATAAAGACTTAGTTTCTTTATCTACAACACAAAGGAACTGGACTAGATGAACTATGTCAGGGGTCCACAAACCCCCGTCACAGACCAGTATCAGTCCGTGGCCTGTTAGGAACCAGGCCGCACAGCAGGAGGTGAGTGGAAGGTGGGCAAGCATTCCTGCCTGAGCTCCGCCTCCTGTCAGATCAACGGTGGCATTAGACTCTCATAGGAGTGTGAACCCTATTGTGAACTACATCTGCAAGGGATCTAGGTTGTGTGCTCCTTATGAGGTGGGACAGTTTCATCCTGAAACCATTCCCACCCCACCCCACCCCCAACCATGGAAAAACTGTCTTCCACGAAACTAGTCCCTGCTGCCAAAAAGGTTGGGGACCACTGAGCTATGTTATGTCCCTTCAAGCTCTGAAACTCCACAATTCTCTACTGAAAACCATGTGGAAACTGAAGTCATCTTCTTGGGTAGCGATGATTCTACTACCCTGTGTAGATTAGACAAATGTATGCTAAAGTAAAGAAAAAACACTATTTTTAAGCTCTACTTGTGGTCAATGTAGAATCTTTCTACCAATGCAATGACTGGCTCAGAGCTGTATATTTTCAGAAATCTGGCCTTAATATCTTAGTTGTAAGTAGATTACTTTCTGAAGAACTATCTCAGCCAGAATATAAATATTAGGCAAATGATACTAATACATTTTCCAATATCTTTGACTAGGGGAGAAGGAAGTATGGTACAATGAAAAGACTAATGGATTAAGGCAATCTGGGCTTCATTCCCAGCTTTTATCTACTAAACCCTCTGGGGTTTAAATGTCTTAATCATAAAATGGAAAGGTTAGACTAGAAGATTTAATGTCCACTCCAGGGCTTAAAAAATATATTAATAGCCTAGCAGTGTGTGAATAGTGTCAGTCATGCCCACTTTAAAAAAATCTCTCTTTCCTTGTCCAAAATTCATCTTGTGTTTCTTAAAGTAAAAGAATACACGAGAGTCATAGTCTATGGGAGAAAGAGGTCACATTTCCCTTGGACAATATGCCAGAGGTGTGGAAATCAATGACAATGCCCTCTTTGATCATAAAAACACCAGAACTAATAAAGAAGTCATAATTAAGGAGTTGAGCAGCATCACAACTGCCCTACACTGAAGGGTAACTCACCCTGGGGAGCAAGTTCCTTTCTGCCTAGCCTGAGAGGTGCAGTAGCTGAACATCCTAGATCAAGGGTGTTCAGGTTTTTTCTTTTCTTTTTTTTTTTTTTTGCCTCTAGGCTGAGTACAGGCCTAACACACTCAAATAATTAAAATCTCATATTACATTCAGAGTTTTTCTTTTAAAGGAGTGGAGGCAGGTTGCAAACTACCCTTTCCATGCACCTCTACAACAGCAAAAGAGATTCATAGTCCTAGATTAACTGTATATATTCAGGTTTAAACTATTCACATTTCCCATCTTTGTCTCCCAAAAACTTTTATGTCAAATATTATTGCATTCCATTCAAATCATACATACAAATCAAGTTCCCAGAATTTTTGTATCTTTTTTTGTCAAAGGGTGAAGTTAGGGAAACAAAACAACAAAACTACTGCTAACAAACCATACCTCCAGATTCAACTGTATCATGCCCTTTTCTCATTTTGTAAAACACCAAAGTCCAAGATGAACAGCTTCTGCCAAGATCACAACAGGAAGTTACCCAACCAGGAGCTCTAAATACGCATCTTTAGCTATCTCCATCTGGATGAACAAATCGTAACACATTCAGCATGTCTAAAACTGCATTCTGTCTTCTTGATCAAAATGATCCTTTTCCTTGTTCTTTTTGGGAATGTTACTACTATCTTTTTATTCAGCTCCCCCATTTCCCTCATCTAATCCATGCTCATTCCTGGGGAATTCCTAGTATTTCTCATTATTTCCACTGCTCTCATCATCTGTCATGTAGTGTCTCTTCCTGATACCAATTTCTTCGTAATCTCAAATCTTCTTCATGTTCTTGCTAAATCAATCTATTTAAACTATTCAGTTGATTATTTTGTTCCTTTGTACAAAACCTTTCAATGGTTTCACTTTCAATAGTAAATTAAGACCAAATTCCTTGCTATGTCACTGAAGGCCCCAGTCCCTGCTGTGAAACTCCCAGTCAGGTCTTATTTCTCACTACTCTCCATTATCCCAATTAACAGGGACCTGTTATCCACCTCCCTACTTTCATGTGTTTGTTTTCACTGCTCCTTTCACCTGAACCACTCTCCTTTCTCAGTGGTGATGGTGCATTTAATCCTCCTTGCAAAGCTCAAAATAATTTCCAACTCCTCCAGAATGAGCCATGCCTGAGCCTAACATTCCTGAAGTTCTGCCCTTTGAAATATGTATGTTGTCCTTCGTTTTCCTGTAATTGCTGCATATTTATACTGTTCCAAGTGCATTTCTGTTCTCCTTGTGCTCATTTTTGTGCTTTTCTTGTCCTACATTTGTCTTGTACCCTGCACACTTGCCACTGAACTAGGAGCTACCTAATGGCAGAAATGATCCTTGCAAATGTTAGCACACACAGGACCTTGCACTCAGGAACTTCCTAATGTCTTCTTATTGCTAACACAAATTAATGCTAAAGTGATTGACATCAGAAAAACATGAGTGAATGGATTACTATATTACACTATTTCTTTAATATTCAGAATCATTCTGTATTCTATCTGAGCATCTAGAGCTCCCTCTTAGATACTGGTAAGACAGCACAGACAGGGGTAAGTTTGGCAGCTGAGGGTACAGGGTAAGAGAACAAGCTCTGCAGTACAAGTGTGAATCCTTACCCTGCCTCTCACTAGCAGTGTGGTGTTGGTCCTGAAGCAAGCAACCCAATGAACTAAATCAACACCAATGATTTCCTCCTATTGTAGATAAAATGTTTGAAATTACCCTCATATTTCTCATTAACAAACTACAAATAAATTATTTTTATTAAAAGTCTCTTATACCCTTGACCATAACTATTGCATAGGAATAATGTCAATTTGTATTGGTAACATCTGCAATTGTATCACTCAGTCTCCAATTATTCAATTTAAGTACACTTCATCTATAGCAGACAACTTTGCTGCTCATCAAATTACAGCTGCATGACGAGGCCAGCTGCTAACAGACACACCTTAAAACCTTTGGAAGCAGCAATGTGGGCAGCAGTCCAGCCTTCTCTGTTGGCGTGGTTAATGAGGTCTGCAGGAACAACAGGCTTGAATATGCCTTCAGGACTCTCTTCTCCTCCATCCAAGTCAAAGACACCTGACTCGGACTCCTCCTCATTGAAAGAATTTCCACAAGCTGGTATTCTATGGTACATAAGAAGCTTGAGGCTGTCCACATTACCAGTGTCCACAGCTGCGTGAACTGGTGTCCAGCCATCCTGAAAATAAAATGACCAGGGGGAAAGGGTTGATAACAACATTAATGTCAAGGATAATGTTATTGAAAGTTCACTTCAAAATGTTCTTGGGCATGGACCACTGAGCTGGGAAAAGCAGGCATTCCAATCCTGAACATCAACACTGATGAGCTGGGTAAAGTTCTCTGACTTCTGTCAGTTAACAATATTTCCAACTGCTATGATTCATGTTTGCTATTTTGTAATCACTTCTACCTACCAGTTAAACATTTGGGGTGAGCAGGTACTGCCCAGGGCATAACTGAGTATTATGTATGGTAAATCAAAATCTCAATTTAATACTATGAAAGAGAATGAACTTTAAAGGAATTTAAAAATTTATATGCAAGAATGTTATTAGTACTAAAAGAATGCAGTTTTGCAGTTATAAGCCAGTTCTACTTATAAGGCACTGACCTAACTCTGTGATCTTAAAATTTTATGCCAACCATTCCAGAAGGAAATATCCTAAACAACAGGGAAAAGGTAGACACAAAGAAAAAACAAAGCCAAATAATTTCAGTGCAGGTTTACGGGCCCCTGTTGAGTGTTTTGTGACTGCAGAGGGATACTGATCATTATAAGCTTAGAAAATGTTTCAACTAAAATTACTGGGTCTGTTTTCTAGAATATATTACTTTGGAGCCTCTATTATTCACTTAGCTGGTAGATGGAGTTGGGGTATTAATAGAAGTCCTTTTTAGGGCAGTGATTCTGAGGTATGGTCCCCAGACCAGCAGCATCAGTATCACCTGGGAACTTGATAGAACTGTGAATTCTTAAGCCTCATCTCAGATCTATTGAATCAGAAACTCTGGGGATGGGGTCTACCAATCTGACTTAACGATAGCTCCAGGAGATTCTAATACACTAAAGTTTGACAAGCATTATTCTGGGAAAAATCTAGGTTCTATCTATAGTCTCTTCATCTTTATATAGAGATGGGTCTGCATTCTATTCAGACACGCATTTTCTTTATTTTTTAAAAAAAATTTTCATAAAAGAACCTGGCTTATTTTGGTGATTTGTATTTTGGCTATGTTTTTCTACCTTTAATTTCCCCTTGACATACCGTTTTCATGTAGTATTTCACACTGCTATACTAAATATATTTCAGTAAGCTACAGTATACTTTTAAAAAATAATAGGGTAGAAGACAGATAACTAGACAATTAATAAGAACAATCTAAATTTGGGTTAAGTCATCTGATCATTTGCTAAGGCTGTCCCTTTGCAATGCAGCTTTTTCTCTGGTTTGGTATCTCATACCAATAAAATCCACTTGGCTAAGACAAGACGAGGGTGCTCCCATCAGGTAAATAAAGTTCACTTGGCTAAGACAAGACTATGGAGCTTCAATCAGCTCCATTCAGGTGTGTTCTTCACTGGGTTGTGGACACCTTTACTTGGGTAGTATAACAGTATACTACACAAGTAGTCTACTACTGAAGAGTATAAGTGCTTTTGACCTTTCCCGATTTATATTACAAAGGCCATGCAACCATTTCTGGAAAAATAAATTTCTATCTTCCATCCTCTTTTGATACTTATTATAAGGCACAGACACAATTGTTCCCAATTACACTGTTTATCTCTGGACTTTTGAGCATCCATACTTCCAAAGATTTTGTTCAGTTCACCAGCAACTAGCTGGAAAGAATGGAATTCTATGTTCTCTAACTTAGGATGTGACTAATTTTTATGCTGTACTGCTTTTTTTTTCATTCAGCCCAGTGATACAAAATTAATTTATTTTTCACCATAGAATTTTATACTGAATATGTGTAACATCACAGATTTCTCAATATATATAAATAACATGAAAAATATAAAACTAAACTGTTTTCTCAGATTTTCAAAAAATAGGAAGTTTTTTAAAAAAAACCTCTAGCAATAACAGTCATTAAAAATGTTTATATCTAGCTTATTACATCTCTGCTTATATATATAATTATTTTTTTTTTTAGGCGGAGTTTCATTCTTGTTTCCCAGGCTGGAGTGCAATGGTGCCATCTCGGCTCACTACAACCTCTGCCTCCCAGGTTCAAGCGATTCTCCTGCCTCAGCCACCCAAATAACTGGGATTACAGGCATGCACCACCATGCTTAGCTAATTTTCTATTTTCAGAAGAGATGGGGTTTCTCCATGTTGATCAGGCTGGTCTCAAACTCCTGACCTCAGGTGATCTGCCCACCTCGGCCTCCCAAAGTGCTGGGATTACAGGCATGAGCCACCACACCCGGCCACATCTCTGTGGCCATTATTAACCATTGGTTCTCCTTTACTTAAGAAAACCCAGGATCTGAGACTATTATTTGTTGAATGAATAAAAAATACCTCCCTTGTCTGCCCTAGTTCTAAAAATAATCAAAGCATAGGTATTTGTTTTCCTGTTTGACGGATGAATCTGAGGCTCAGAGGTTAAAGGACTGGTTAGGCTAATGAACAAGACATTTAATTAACAGGAAAGAGAGTCAAACAAGGGTCAGACACTTTCCAAATCCTACGAGCAAAACAAAATACAGCAACCTCTATTTTAATTTATTTTGTTTTTCTAGCTGTAGAGTTTACAAATATATGGCAAATTATGTATACAGGGGAAAAAAAAAACTGGACTGGTACTCACTGTGGTTTTTACACTTCGATTGGTTCCGGCTTCCAACAAGAGTTTAATACATTCTTTATTTTCATTTTTACAGGCCAGGTATAGAGGTGTCTGTCCTCCATCAGCAGCATGATTAATGTTAGCATCATATGCAATTAATAATTCTACACACCTAAACACAAGATTAGGATTAATCACATAAAACCTGGGTTTGACCTTTGAAGCACCACCTAACCAAGATATTAAATACAGAAAAGAAGGCAATGCTGCATCTTTATATACATCAACTGTTTCTATTTTTATATATATATCAATTATTATGGATCTTATTACATGAATACTATTTTTATAAGGCTAGAAAATATATTCTAATAACAAAATTTCATTTCTCCCATGAAAATTTGAAAAGTGCTAATACCTCCTTTATGGTACTTCCCTATAACCAACTTGTGAAAGCAGAGTCCTTAGAACTGAACTTCCTAGGATGAACGGTTTAACTGTACTTGATAAATATATATTATTTTGGTTCAAAATAGTTTGAACATTGAAAAAAGGCTGCTGAGTCATTCTGAGATTTTCACTTGAGAAAATAATTATAAATAGCATAGACAGCAGGGCACCATGTGCCTTCTCTATAAAAGGCAGCAGAAAGGCTGAGAAAAGGGTTGCCTTGGGGAGAAAAGACAGCAGAGGTTGTCCTGTCTCCTGAAGGCAGGCTAGCTGATGAGGAAAAAGATAGCTAAGCAGAAACTCCGCTGCCCTGAGAATCAAGGAGGAAAGAAATGAGGTAAAGTCAAGACTTTGTGACACTTAGTTACTAGCTAAACATGCGGAGCTTAAGTTGTAAAATTAGTTGAGAATAAACTTAAAAAGAGGGCTAAATCATAATCAAAGAAAGAAGCAATCCACTTCATCTTTTATTTTCACTCCAATGAATGTTTTTCCTAGTTTTCCCTTGCAGTATCTGATTTATATATATATATTTTAAATTAAGTGACATGTTGAAGTATGTGTGTATCAGACACATTTAAATTAACCAATCCGGCCTGGTACGGTGGCTCACACCTGTAATCCCAGCACTTTGGGAAGCCAAGGGGGGCAGATCACGAGGTCAGGAGATCCAGACCATCCTGGCTAACATGGTGAAAACCCATCTCTACTAAAATACAAAAAATTATCTGGGTGTGGTGGCGTGTACCGGTAGTCCCACCTACTCCAAAGGCCAAGTGAGGGGAATCACTTAAACCCAGGAAGTGGAGGTTGCAGTGAGGTGATGAGCTGAGATCACACCACTGCACTCCAGCCTGGTGACAGAGCAAGACTCCGTCTAAAAAAAAAATAATAATAATCAATCAATCAATCCCCAGATTTCTCCAGGGTCCTTCCTTTTTGCAGAGTTATCCATGCTTCCATTGCTGTGACTGCTATACTCTCCAAGAAAGTGGCCCTACAGGCTGCCTGGTGAAAGTAAAGGTAAAAAGCACAGCTCAGAAGGAGAAATTCCTTTTGAAGGAGTCAGGATATGCCCAAAGAGTACAGCAAAATCAGTGTCTAGGGTTCTCAATGACAAACTCAGGGTAATGAAATATGTGTTCGATATGCAGAAAAGTAAATCATGCTATACATAAATAATTCATTTTGTATTTTAAAAATTTTATATTTATGATTAATAACATGGATTCAACCTTAAAACCCCCTTTCAATAATTCTGTAATTTGTTAAAGAACATTTCTATCAGGACAGTTAGATTAAAAAGTTAAAAGCAACTTGTGTTTCCCACAACCTGACATTTCAGCACAGGCAGAAAAAGCAACTTAGCTATTTTCTATTTTTTTTTAATTAAAATATGACTTTTAATGTTAAAAAGTCATGCCTATATCTGACTGACTTAGTAAGCTACTAAATAAATCATTGCTAAAGTTAAGTATATTTTAATTAATAGGTATCTTTGGCTTAATGCTCAAACTTCTTTCAGTATGTGAAATTCATGCTTCAATTTTGTTTTAAATGGTAAAACAAGATGAATAATTAGAATACATTACCACTAGGAAGTTCAGATTATTACAACCAATTTAATTCTATGTTCTACTTTTAGTGACATCATAAGTAAAAAAATCTTTTGGGGGTTTGGAATGGTGTAAAATAGTGAACAACAAGCTTCTCAACAGTCTTTTATCTCATGACATATGTGTTGACATGCCATAGATTATCTTCTGAAGAAAGTTCATTTACGTTCAGTTGGGACACAGCACAGTTCTTCACTTCCCTCAAATATTAACTATTATTAAGAGCAAATTTAGAATCCTAGTTTGCATTTAAATTCTCAAATATATTTAGCGAATTTATTTGCCAGTGATTTTAAGCACTAGTTTACACATCCAGCCGGAACTAAAATATGTGTGCAAATTATAAAAAGAGGCTTTCACAGTGGGAAAAAAGGAATTAAGAGCAACTTACTCGAAATGTCCCTGAGCAGCTGCAGCACACAAGGGTGTGAAGCCATTTTTATCAGCAGCATTGATTTGGGCTTCTGCACTCAGCAGCAATCTCACACAGTCTATGGATTTTAATAGAAAGCCATGTAAATTCCCCATTTGGAGTTAAGATGTGCCAAATTCTATGCAAGCTGTAGATAGATTCTAAACCCAAAGGGCCTCTCCCCTGCACAGTTCATCTCACAATTCCATCATGGCAGACCTGCGACTCTGCAGACTAATTTACAGGAAAAGCAGCCTCTTCTCCCAAAGATTATAATACCCCAGACTCACTGACTAAGATGGGTGTGTGTGTTTGTGTGTGTGCGTGTGTGTGTGCACCTGCATGTGCCCATGCGTGCGTGCATTTTGGGAAGAGTTGCTGCTGAGTAAAAAAAATGTCATGTGCCAGAAAATGCTTTACCGGATTTTTCTACCAGTCTATCCCAGAAAATAATGTTCCTGGATGGAGAACCAAATTCACTTACCAAACTGAAATACCATTCTTTGTATTTAAATAAATTATTACTTTATGATGTTTAATCTTTAAACTGCTTCTGGATGGTGGGCATACTACCCTTAACTCCATGAATGAGGCTAAAGGACAGCCCATTGGAAGTCACCTAACTCCGGAATAAATGCCACCTAGATGTCACATTCCTCATGTTACTTACTAGATTTACTTCTTCTATATTAATGAAAATCTCCATAGTGTTTATGAAGAATTCTAGAATACTTAAAAAATAATAGGTGCTCTCTGAGGTTGCTAGAATCCTCCATTTATCTGAATTAATCGACAGTCACATGGGCTCCCATATGCAATGCTATCTGACTTTGCATTTGCGGTCAAATCCTCTCTTTTTCTGCACTCCCATATGTTTTGGTATATTTGACTACAGGATTTGCATTTTAAAGAACAAGAATAATTCCCAGTCTTCATCGATATACCATTTATAGTTACACAACTTCTCGGTTCTTTTAAGACATTCAAATAACTATAAATTCTTCCAACTGTGGAGCGATTTCAGGCCCATGTCCTTTCCTAACTACTAAAACTTTCCCTCACTGTAGCATGTAGCACTAAAGTTCTCATAATTAGACTTTCTCATATATCAGGTATTTCTAACGGACCATAAATGCAAAGTCATCTTTGCATAAAACAAAGATTACTTTTTACTAGCTGTGGTAAAACTTTATATTAAGGAACTGTACAATTTGGATTTTTTAAATGTTTATACAAACTTTAAATCTCATTTAATACTATCAATTACCACCTGTAAAAGAAAAATAAAACTAAATTGAGCCTTAGGCTCATAACAATGGATACACGGGCTTTTGACTTTCCCTCCTTTTGCAAGTGTGTGGTATGATAAGATCTTGCCATATTTACCTGTATGTCCATTCTTAGCAGCAGAATACAAGGCAGAATGGCCATCTTCACAGGAGTAATTAATGTCCAGTCCTTCTTCATTAAGCAGCATTGATAATAAAGTGACATTTCCCTGGGCAGCAGCTTGCTGAAGAAGGGTGGGCCTGCCAGCCAGGGGGGCAGGACCACCACTCATTAGCAAAGGGGTTAGGGAGGGTGACCAGCCTGTAGGTTAAAGTGACCCTCGTTAGAGAGTAGGCGCAAGGACAAGAGACAGATATTACCCATTCCTTTCTGAATTACACACACACAAACATATGAACATGTGTCCCTAGAGGATTATGTGGTTTCTAACATTATCAATCTGTTAATATTTACTTAGCATGAATCTGGACTGTTATTTCAGATCTTATATCTGCTGCCAATTAAATCAACATACATAGTGAAAAATTATTTTTAGTCATGAGTCTTGTACAGGTAAGTGTTAAAGTGGTGATTGGTTTTAGGAAAACTTAAGATGGCTGTCTTGTTTTAAAAGTTCAAATTCCTCTTCAGGATTTTAAAACAATTTGAATTTTAAAATGTAAAGGTTTTACAAGGTAAAGTTTTCCTCTAGTTCAATATTAATCTGGAAAAGTGAACTGATATTTTTAGGTATAAGATAAATAATTGTAAGAAACAGATTTTTCTTTTTGAACAATGTTTCTAAAATGTTTAATTACAAATTTTATGTAAACTGTTAAGATGGACCAAAGAGTCTATTTATATTCCTTGAATTCCCTTATTTGGGAATGGAAATAATGGAGGCCAACTGCTATTCAGTATTAAGAGATAATAAAATATAACATATATAACTGGATCTAGAGTTCACCAGCACAAATATTCTATATACAACTGTGAAGACGGTATCATCTGGCCACCTTTACAAACGCCTAACAAACTTTTAATCAGCCAACAAAACAGGACACTCAATATATAATTTTAACAAAAACAATGAGTTATCACAGTTAGATATTTCTCATCAGTATTTAGCAGCTTTAGAAGAGAATCTGTTAAGTGTGTGAATTCGGCTGCATATAGCATGAAAAACTTTCTGAATTCTTCCTTGATCAAAAGGCTGTAAAAACAGTAAAGTAAAAATGTTCATTCAATGTGATATATAGGTATTTGTGTATTTTAGACTTAAATACAGTGAATTTTCAAAATAAGACATTTTCCTCTTTTTCCTTATAGGGTTCTAATATGTGTAACAGCATTGTGCATATGTACATATATTTATCCCTAAGAGCACACTTTCACAGGCCAATTAGGTCTATTTTGTCCTGACCAAAGTGATCACAGATGGAGGGCTTTATTCTAAATAGTGCTTCACAATGGCTAGACCCTAAATTTCTATATGCACAATACATCTCATTGTACATAAAACAAACATTACTTTTTACTAGCTGCAGTAAAATTTTACATTAAGGAACTATACCATTTGGATTTTTAAAATGTTTTATAACTATCCACTACCACCTGTAAAAGAAAATTAAAACCATATTGAACCTTCTGCTCATAACAATGGTCATATGGGCTTTTGACTTTACATCCTTTTGCAAGTGTGTGGCATGATGAGATAAGATCTTGCCATATTTACCTGTACATCCTTTCTTAGCAGTGGAATACAAGGCAGAATGGCCACCTGATTACGATACGTGGTAATATCCCTTTAGTAAGATACAACAGATGGATGTTTTATACCCTCTGTACATTGGTATCAGCATAATTATTCTAGGCATATAAGTGTCATATTAATACACATATGTAATACTCAATTCTTATGATTAAATGCTAAATTATTGGCCTTAAATTATCTTAATAAATATTTTCAAAGTACATATCAAAGGAACTTCTCAGTATTTAAAAATTATTTATTAAAAAAGGCAAAACAAAGCCAATTATACAAATGAAACTACACTGCTTATAAAAAGCTGGATATTTTATCTTTATAATCAATTATTTGGGTCTATGAATAATTTATTGTTTTTAATCCTATTAGGACTATATGTAGTGACATACAAAATCAAAATGCTCATAAAATTCAATATTTATCTAAACTTTATGATATTTTCCTACTGATACTCATTAGCTCTTCTTACAAAAGTAGTATTTTTACTTCATACTTACAAGAAGGCTCCTCTCTGGTACATTTTACCTTTTGTATTTTCTTAAAAACAAACAAACAAACAAAAAACAGGCCCACAAAAATTAAATCAGTACTTATTAGAAATGGATAAACAGAGAAATTATAAACACGAAGGTATAAAACCTCGACTGCAAAGCAAACACAGGCAATATGAAGGCATCGCACTACAGTCCTCTGTGGAACAGGAGGGAATGGGGCTCATACTCAGCCTCTCTCTCTTTCATTCTCTCTTTAGATCTCATCCAAGGGGTCTTGGTTATTGATATTCTTTTATGAATACCAATACATGTAAATGGCTTGCTATTCTTTTGGGTTTTGTTTACATTTTTCTTTTTTCACCATAAATCTAGGCTTTTGTGGGGAGAAGACAGTTTAAATATATTTTTCAACTGCTTTATACAGAAATACTCAATTGCAGCTGTAATTTCCTGGGAAACCCTATTTTTAATAAGTTATCTGAAAGACAAATTTTTTTCTTCAATTTGTTTTCCATCTTTAGACCACTGAAGGGTCGTCTTATACAGAACTACAGAAGATATATCAGTTGCCTTATTTTCTTAGAGGTCTGCAATATATTTTAAAAATCTTTACAGAAGAAAAATGCTTTATAAATACCAAGTATTTTAAAACTGTAAATACATTTTACATCTTCACTAACATTTCCAATGTTGTCTAACACACAGACAAGCTTATTTTAATAAATCCTGCCTAAATGTGTGAAAAATAAGACTTCACCATGAGACTACATTGTTCATCTGAAATTCCCGACAATGATAAAAAAGGTAATGTTTAGTTAAGAGGTTAAATAATGGTTAAGACAGAACAGACCGGTATTCATACAGCTACTCTACTGATGTTAGCAAAAAGTCAATCAGTTTCGCAGTGTCATATGCAAACATTAGTAAGGTGAGCATCCTGCACAACATGCCAGGAGGAAGGGAATGACTGGACATGCAAGCAGAGGGAAGGAGTGAGAACAGCTTCCGGCATCAGCTTCAGAGGGTGGAGAAGGTTAATGTCATAGCCCAGATCATTCTTGTTTTCTGATTTAGCCTTTAAGCCAATCATACATGGAGGATAATTTTTAAAAGTCACGTTTCAATAGGGAAAAGGTGTAAACCAAATTAAATCAAATGTATCAAATAAAAAAAAAAAAACACAGAAAAAACAATTTCCAAGGGTATGGAAACTCAGTTGCCTGGAGTGATTTCTGGTTTAGGCTTCTGTTCATCTAACATTTGAAATGTGTTTATTTGGCAAGTTCAGGAGGAACAAGAAATTCTAGTTCATTTAGAATTAAGAATGTTATTTAAAAATTTAACATTTGGCTATAAAGGTTGCCAAATAGAGTTTGGGTAATTTATACTACAATTCATTGAAAGGGTAACTTCTGTCATTCCAATTTTCCTTGGGGCTCTAACTAGGTCATAATTGTTATAGATAGAAGCTGACATGGAACACAGGATTCTAGAGTTGGAAGTACTATGGGCCAGTAGTTCTCCAAGGAGGGAGAGGTAGTTTGAAAATTTATCAGGCAAGTTTAAATCTTTTATTGTTTGGGAATATTATTATATTATTATAATTTTGGTTCAATGCTTTTTTTGAGACATAGTCTTACTGTGTCACCCAGGCTGTTGCACAGTGGCATGATTAAGGCTCACTGTAGCCTTGACTTCCTGAGTTCAAGTGATCCTCCCACTTCAGCCTCCTGAGTAGCTGGTACTAAAGGCACACACTACTATGCCCAGATAATTTTTATATTTTTTGTAAAGATGGGATTTCGCCATGTTACCCCGGCTGGTCTTGAACTCCTGCGCACAAGTGATCCTCCTGCCTCATCCTTCCAATGTGCTTGGATTACAGGTATGAGCACTGCAGCCCGCAATGCTTTTGCTTTTAAATGAAAAAGCTAATGGCTTAGAGGGAATTAGCTCTCTAGGGTGATACTTAGAAAGGGGCAGGAATGGACTAATCCTGCCTTACTATACTTAGTTCAGCGCTTGTTTGATCACCGAAATTGGAAGAGACATCTGTCAGGTATTTGACAGATGTGCGTTGTCCCTGTGCCTTGCTTTTGGCAACCACAATGGAATCAGTGGCTGTTTGGAAGGTTAATACCCTTCAAAGGGCTAATGACCTGGAGAGGCACAAGCTCACCCAGGGACACACAGGTTAGTAAGCACGGTGGAGGCAGCTCTGGTGTTTCTTAGTTGCAATGGGCATAGTGGCGAAAATAGGGGTAATCTCAATGCAAAACAGAGTTGAAATCATCTATCTTATTTGGAAAGTTCAACGCAACATTTATAGTTGAATTGTAGAGTTGTAGACCTCCATTGTGTAAGTGTAATCACACTTTCATTTCCCAGTCTAGGTGCTCAGTAAACACTTGCTGAATGACTCAAGGCTTCCAGTGCCTCCCTTCTCCCTTAATAAGTCACATCTTATAAGCAAATGACATAGAAACCTGTTATTCTACCAAAAGTAATTCTGCAGTTCTGAGAGGAATAAATAAACAAAATACTTTGGCAAAATTGCAGAAGTCAGAGAGTAGAAAATAAGGAATCTGTTTTCTGTATCTTCAGGGGCTGGTATTTTTTTGGTCTCTGGTCTATAGTGTCTTTTGCTTTCCAGACATAAGTGAAGGGCATTTTTCAGAGGGGTTATAGCTCTTTTATCTAAAATTTTACTGTATCCTAGGGCAGGACATCCTGGTGAATAGATAACAGATTAGTAAATCTCTGTCTTTAAAAGTTAAGACATTTTAATCCATTAACTTTTCAATCCTATTGACAAAATGTTCCTCAGTCATAGATCCTGGTTTTAAGGCTTCTCTGCCGAAACCAAAGGGCACGTGCAGCTAAACCCTGGACCACAGTCATGACCAAGGCAACAAGTGGCAGACCCTCAAGGTCTCAGAGTAAAGATGGCTTTGTATTTTTTTAAGTGACAAAACTTCTATATCCTAGAAGTGTTTTCTATTTTACAGTCTATGCATTTGTGGCAACAGCACTGCCACTGCTCCACACATTTCTGGAACTTGTGTTTTGTGACTGCCCAAAGATCTTATAGTACATTCTCTATTCTACTGAGTAGCAAAATTCCTCTTCTGAGGGTGGATTTAATTTGTAAGAAACAGCCAAAATTATTTTAGGCCACGAGAAGAGCTGTTCAGCTCAGTAATACCATTTTGGATCAAAAATATAGAACGCTGAATGCCTGTAAAGATATCTCAAAATAATACTAAAGTCAATTCCAAAGCAAATTCTCAAAAGTACCGTAAACAACAATATCATTGAAGCAGTAATATCATCTCTACTTATTGATTACTCATGCTATTCTAAGCTCAATACTATGCTGACAGGTTAGAGGATCTGATCCTCCTAACAGCCACCCTCCCCCATATGAGTAGCATAAGAAGTCACCAAAAATGCACAACTGTAAATGGCAGAGACTAGATTTCAACATAGATCTAACTTCAAAGTCCATGCTGCTTCCAATTCCCTATTTCGCCCCTCAAAATATGGATAAAGCCTCTCAAAGACCTTAATTTCAAGTTGATAGCTTATAGTTGGACAAATAAATCCTAGAGTACTGCTGCCATCACCTGATAATTAGCAAATATGATGCTATTTGCTTTTCTCTCTCTCCCTTCAAAGTACTCAATATAACAACTATTCAAACCTTCCTGTAATTATAAAAGTTTCCTCCCATTAGAACCAACAATCTCCACCAACCACTGAGATCCCATGGTAGGAGAGACTTCTCCAAAGCTTCAACAGAACTTTGTCTTCCACATTTTGAGGGGTAAAATTGGGAACTGGAAACAGCATGGACTTTGCAGTTAGTCAGATGGGTGTTGGAATCTAGTCTCTTGTTATTTATAATTATGTGTTTTTGGTAACATTACTTTAGAGCCACATTTGCTTAGTAAAGAACTAATCCAGTCATGTCAATAAAAAGCAATGCTTTCTCTAGCACTGTATAACAAAAAGGAAAAATCCACCTTTTCTTTGTTCAAGAGTCCCAGATTCAGTGACTTCATAAGCCACACCTGCAATGGAAACCTTCTGTAACATAGCCCACATGCTATGTTAACCATCTGTGCCCAAGTGCTGGAAGACGGCAGCACTAAATAGGGTACATGGCTTTTGAAATAAACTTAGAACAGATTTATAAATATTCACACTCCATTTCTGAAGGTAAAAAAAACAAAAAAAAAAACAAAAAAAAAACCTCTAAACACCAAACTGATATTAGAACTTAAAATATACCAATTACAGAACAAATCTAGTCAATTTGGTAATCCAACATAGTGTTAATAATTACTTGAAAGGCCTTTAAAAATGTCATCTCAGAAGGAACAGAATTAAACATGTACTGTCTGATGATGACCCACTGAGGTCTTGCGAGATAAATATTTAATAAGAAGGAATACTCTTTTCTCCCATGTAAATACTTTAGTCTCTCTAAATTAATGGTCTCCATGTGCTTTAAGCCACTACTTTCAGGTTATTTTAAAAGAAGAAAGCACTTAGCATAGTGAAACCGCACTTCATATAGCAAGATGAATCACCATACCCTGGAGCCTTTAAAAACAAACAAACAAAAATCAAAAAAAAAAAAAAAAAAAAAAAAAAAGGAGAGAGAGAGAAAGAGAAAAAAAAGGGGTGGGGGTGGGGGAAGCATAAAATTAAAAAAAAAGTTTCAAGGCAATGTGAAGAAAATCAAGGCAAGTGAGAAGAGAGGCCATATTCTTTAAAAAGGGTATAACAGTTCAATCCCTTTACCTGATGCTGTTACCAGGAGGCTGTCTGAGGCACCTGGTCTACAGGATGAGGCACTAACGGGGTTTATGGAAGAGCAAAAGGCAATGGTGGTAGGAATGACAAGGGAACTGTCTGAACATGCAGGTTGGTTCAGTCCGGGGGTTGCAGCAGGCCAGGCACCCACCTGAGATGTGGCCAGGGCTGAAACGGTACAGCCTGCAGGTGCCACAGTTAAATCTATGGATGGTTTTGGTGGCAGCTGAGGGGAGGATGACTTAGGAAGGTTGTCCTCATTGGTCACCCTGTTCCCTTGTGGCAAACTGGAAGGAGGCGAAGCCACAGTTTTGTTATCAACTTTGGCCCCTGTGTTTGAGGCCCTGCTGCTGTCTATAATAACCTTGAGTTGGGGGTGTGGTGGAGAAGGAGTTTGGGAGAGCCCTGGCTTTTTTGGAGGGATAGGAGGAGGATTTCCTCTGTCAACTCGTGCAACACCGTGAGTCTTTAAACTGGTCCGACCGACTGGAGGGTGAGTGCCAACATCCCCTGTTGGGGGCGCTCCAGGCCTTGAGGGAGCACCTGCTTGAGGGCTTGTAAATCTTGACAGTGCTTGGGTCACAGTATTCCGAGCTAGTTGTTTGGCCACTAGGTTGTCACGACTTGTAGGTGACATATCTCTTGACGGAGGACTTTGTGTAGTATTTCCATTTTGGTCTGGGTCGTTAGCATTGCCCTGAAATCTAAATCTAGCTGCTTGGATTCGTGGGTTTAGACCTGGATGCAAAGAGGCGTTGGCACATGGTGAATGTAAACTGTGCATAGGTGGAGCCTGGGAGTTCTGAGGAGCTATGCCTGGTGTCTGAGTGGTGGGAGGGGCAGCGTTACTGGGAAGTGGGGGTGTGCTACTGGTTGGATCTGGTGTTGAGTCAGTGCTTGGTCCATTTTCCTCAATTCTGTTTGCACTTGGAGGTGGGAAAGCGGGTACAGAAGAGCCAATCAAGTCACTGTGGGAAGCCTGCCTATCAATACCTGGTCTGGCCATTGTGGCACTAGTGCACACGCTCCCTTTTGCATTTGCAGAAACTAGGGGGCTCCCTGTGGAAGGTTTTACAGGCATGGTTAAAGGCAACTTTTTCACATGGTCAGCACTTTCTGTCACTAGGTCTGTCTGGCATGCAACAGACCTTGTCACAGTTCCTTCTGTTCCCACAGATATGGAAACCAAACGCCTATCTTTTGTCTTCCGTGGAAGAGAGAGGCTTGGTTTACTGTCACTTCCCCTTTTCAGTTGCTCAATCATTTTCTTCATCTTGTCTATCTCCTCTTTGAGGTCAGTGGTGTGTGCTTCTTCCCGGTTCAGCTTGGCACGAAGCTGTTCCCGCTCGGTGTCAAACTCAGAGAGCTGTTTTTCCATCTGAGCTTCCATTTCTGTGCTTCTTCGTTTCTCAGCGGAGAGTTCTTCTTCTAATTCATTTGTCTTTTTCTTTTCCTCTTCCAGTTTGGCCATTACGTCTTCGAGCTTCTGGGCCTCCTCTATGACTTTGCCGGAGAGCTGCTTGCACTCTTTGACCAGCATCAGGACCACCTGCTTGTTCTTGCCGCGCTCTTCCTCGAGGCGGGCGGCCAGCTTCTTGTGCTCTTGCTCAAGGGCTTGTAGCTGAAGCTTCTCCATTTCCAGCTGAAAGAAATTCACAGGAAAATCCTGATTAATATACAGAATTTTCTTTTCACCAAGGAAATGCTTTTTGTGAGATTTTTATTAATTTTCTAACAATTACATATTTGGGTTAGCAAAAACGCCACATTTTCAAAAAGTGTTGTGATAAGAAATATTTTAAAGGCTCATTAAAATGAGAAAATAGATGTAAATGGCTTTATAAAAACATCGAAATTACAACAACAGAGAATTTTTAAAGTCTATTAAAGTTAACTACAGAAAAAGAGAACAATAACCAGATGCTTTAAATCACAGGGATCAGAAAGATCTATTTTTGTAAAAACACAGCTCTGTGATGGAACTGGTGATATTTTTAAAAAAGGTTTAATGCTTTAAAATAATTAATCTCTGAGGTAAAGTATCATGAAAAGTACTGAAAACCGAGGACTTCAGTTAAATTCTAAGCCACTATGTTTGCTAATTGTATTATCTATCTCAGAAATGTACCTTCTTTGAGCTTCCTATGATGAGTTGTTGTGGAAATCACATAAAATTATATATGAAAGAAAGTTCTTTGAAAACTCTAAAGAGCGAAAGAACGATCTTATTAGAACTATATTTGGTGTCAGTGAACCTGGAGCCTGACCTTGTCTCCTACTTTGATCCCACTTGCTCCCTTTGCTTCACTGGACGCTTGGAGTTTCCTAAACATGGTCCTGTCTTGGGGTCTTTGCCCTTACTGTTCTTTCTGCATGGGATTCCCACCACACACCTTCCCATAGCGCTTCCACAATAAGCCACTTGTGCACGGCACAAGAGTGACCCACGGGAGGGTGAGTGGGAGCAAAACTCCAGAGCTCCCCCTCTCTTCCTTTAACTTCCCTACTCACCCAAGTCGCCTGCCCAGCCATGAAGACGGGGTGCCTTTTCCTTCGCAGAAAGGCACTGTTTGTTCACCAAGCCATGGCCCTTAGGATTGGTGCTTTCCAGAGTAAAATCATTTTTCTAACTGATCAACCTAGACAGGGAGCTTTTAAAGCCTTTCTCTCTCCAGATGGGGCTTTCTAATATACACAAAAGCTCCCAATAGCACAGGGGTTGGCTCGTTCATTTCTTCTAGGCTTCTGCTTAGCTGTCACCTTTACAGTGAGGTCTTCCCTCACCACCCTATGGGAAATAACAGTCCCTCCCACCCCTGCATTTATCAACCTTTGTTCACTACATGCCTGCACCCCCTACCCCGAATGTGACTTCACTGAGGGCAGGGACTGTGTCGTTAAGACCTAGAACAGTGGCTGGCACACAGGGGTGCTTCATAAATTGTAAATTGAAGGAATTAGCTAAAATTAACATAGTTCCACTGATAACAATCAGTGAAGAAATTCTGTTACTAATGGGCTTTCTGGCTACATGGGCAGCCTCACAGCGGCACTGGTCTAACATGTTCCTGCAGATTTCTCACTTCTCTCCAGGGAAGCATCTTTCATGAGGGACTATTGAAGGACAAAGGTCACACCCCAAGCTGGGATACAGAAGCCAGGTTGGCCCACATGCCTCACTTCCCCAACTAGTGAAATGTTCCACTGGCAGTCCATAATGGGCCTTATGGTTGCTAAAGGTTAAAGTAGATCTACCTGATTATAAAGATGTGAATAGGGCTTGCTTTCTCATGTAGATGTTAAACACAAATATCCTCTCAAGAGAGTCACTACTTATTTGAGTCAAATTTTTGTCATCAATAACAGAGGAAGAAGATACTCTCACGACCTGTAAGTCATGAGGATGTTCCTGTTTCTTGCCCTGTTACAAAAATCCAAGACTCCATTCCCCTCACAGTCAGTCATGGGACCAAAAGGATGGTCAGAGATAGTGTTTCTTTACTCTGGGATGCTTCCTGCTTTGACAAACAATTGCTAAACAGCATTGGGATGTGTCTCATAAATAGATGATCAGGAATAGAGATTATTCCTCAAGCATAATTACACATATATTTTATTCTACTGGATAAAATTTTGGGAGTAATTCATAAATAGATTAGGTAAGATTGGGGAACAATAGTGTTGTCATATACTGTTTTTATATGTATATCTTATTCACGTGGGTGCCTTGCACAAATTTGACATATTATTAACTAAAACACATTGAACTCTTCTGAGATGCACCAAATAACACGCTGGTATTAGAAGGCATATGCAAAGTTAGAACTGTTAAGAACATTTAAATCTTATTTTATACTAACCCCAAGAAAAAACATTCTTACAACAATGTAAGAAAAACATAAACTAGGCCAATTTTCTGCTTACTATTAAAATACAAATTTCATCATGTGCTTCTGAAGGTAGAGAATTTGAAGAGCTACCTTCATTTTACAAAACAATAACTAGAGGCCATATTAGTGTTTTTCCTAGTGTCATCCAGCTAATGAGTGTCAGTCATGGCAATCACTCAGGGTTCTACTTGTCTCAGATTTTTCTCAGCATATCTCACATCTTGTCCACAGTAATTCTGCACTATGGATCATCATCTTTCAGAATCAAATCGAAGAAGGAGTTCCAAGCGGAGAACAACTCAGCTAATCTCAAATATTTATACAGAAAACTATACTATTACAAGAGCATCTGTAATTCTTTTCTATCGTTGTCCTCCATCACTTGTGCTTTGTAAATCCTACCTCAAACTAATACATGTCTTAAAAAAATTATACCACAAATAGCAGAGCACAGAGGAAACCTCACAGTTGATATACCTATATACACATGGCTCCAAACTCAACCTCTGACTCCCAGCCATCAATCACTCTACCTAACTTCATTTAGCTTCCTCTGCCATTACTACAGGGGATATTTCAAACCTCTGCCTTTCCCCAAATCTTCACCCAATGACCTCTTAACTGACTTAGTCTCTCTCTCTTTACAGACTCCTTTATCGAAAACATTCAAACTCACTCACTTCCCCTCTTCATCTTATCTCCTCCTATAAGCTTTATCATAGCAACACCAATCCATATTTCCTTCCCTTCAATCGAAGGGGGAAAAGTTTCCATCTGCTCAGTGGTGGACTTTCCTTCAGCAATTAACTTCATTTTCTCCCGTCACCTCTGGGACTCATTCCATCAGTTATTATGTTGCTTTTTAAAATATTAAACACCCTTTTCTCTACAGGAGCCTTCCGATAACAGTATACAAACACAGTATATAAACATTTTTATATTAAAAAA